GAAATTGGATATGTACGTGTATAAAAATATCTAAGTTAGACCTACACACTCACATGGATCCAGGAAGGACATGTGCACGCATACGACTTCATGGATTAATCATAGAGAATGTGAAGCTATAAAATATGAGACAAAAGAGTCCTTCGAAAGTTCAACCTTTATGCACATGACCATACATAACTTTTTCAGTTTTTATACCTATCATTTTACGATCATTTCAAGAAATATTTTATGACTTTTCATCTCTGGTTTCTAAATGAAGTAAGAAATGATTCTCAAAATCAGATTTAAAATATGAAGGGAAACCAAAAGTGGAACTCAAAACCCTACCTTGTTAATTATATCATGTGTTAAACAGCTTTTTGCTTAGCCAATGAAAGTAGACATAAACAAGTAGCGTTGGTACTTGGTAGAGTCAGTGAGACCAAGAAGCAGTATATGATATCTAATTAATTGGATACAGTACAACATTATATATCTTCAATATATGACATAATTATTTCGAAATATGGACTATAGAAAGAAGACTCGTTATAATGTGAAAACCGTTAACTTCTATTTAAATACAAACATTACATGTGGAGATCTTAAAAACCCTACATTAATACAACAAGAATGATACACGAACAAACACCTGATATTGAACAACAAGTGTGTGTGTACCTGTCATTCTCGATTGCTTGGATCATGAGATTGTCACAGAGCGGGAACAGTTTTGAGAGTAAAGAAGGAAATGGAACCAATAATCTCTAATAGGGATCCCTAAAACTCCATGTTTCTCAAGAGTCGAGGATCTAAACAAGTGAAGAGGATTTTGTTTTAAAAAAAAAAAAATACAAGAGGGTTAAGTCAATATGAGTATAGGGTCCATGTTCATTTCGGTCTCTAGTTTAAACCACCACGGTGGAACCAGGATATTCGGTTAACATAAAACAAAAACATGAGTATAGGCTACTAAACATCCCTATTAGATATAAATACTATTTCTATGACTTACAAACCAGAGACACCAAAACTTTCTCTTATTTAATCTATTCAATACACTACAAGAAAACATGAGAAAAGCGACTACAGTTAACGACTACAAACATGTGGTCGTAAATTAACGTCTACTTTACATCCAATTTACGACTAATTTATAATTGGTCGTAACTTGGTAGTTATAATACGACTAATAGTATTAGTCGTAAAGAGGAAGGTAATTAACAACCAAATTATGACTACTTTTGAATGTAGTCGNGGTCGTAAATTAACGTCTACTTTACATCCAATTTACGACTAATTTATAATTGGTCGTAACTTGGTAGTTATAATACGACTAATAGTATTAGTCGTAAAGAGGAAGGTAATTAACAACCAAATTATGACTACTTTTGAATGTAGTCGTAAATTAGTCATAAATATATTACAAAGTAACCAACACTTCGTGAAATGGTTAAGCACGCAGGTATATGTCACAAAATAATTTTTAATATGTTATTTTATTGTAATTAATTGTTATATATATATATATGTATATATATATATATGTCATATTACAGGTTGATTATGATGATCCATGGTTTCACGAATTGATACAAGATCCGGCCGCTAAGGTTACCACAACATGTATTTCACACGAGGGTACACTTTCACACTTACGAATATGGAAGTAGGCGAGCAACAACGAACTATGGAGTATGTGTGAATGGTGAAACATATTTCTATGGAATCATGCAATAGATCATCGAAGTGGAGTTTCTCAGTCTAGTGAAGATGAAATGCGTTCTCTTTAAATGTAACTGGTTTTACCCCAGCGTCAGTAGAGGAGTTCGGTAGAGAAAATTTGGAGTTGTTGATATAAATGCTACGCGGAGGTACAACAAAAACACGTGTATTTTTTTAAAAATAGTTTAATCTCTGTAGTTTGGGGTTTAGAACTGTATATAACTTATGATGTTTGGGGTAACGGTTTTAGGGTATAAACACAAGTCGAAGCTAGTTAGTTGTAATTGTACTACTCATTTACGACTAATATATAAGGGAGAAGTTAGTTGGTCGTAATTTACTACTTCCTTACGACCAACATGGAAGGGAGTAGTTAGTTGGTAGTAATTTACTACTCCCT